ATATTAAATCACCAATACCAGAACATTTATGTTGTGAACAGCTGCATCGATTCATCCATGAGCTGAACCAGCGACTGTTTTACAGTCAATGAATCTGGTTCTTCTGGTTTCTTGGTGGTTCTACTGGTTTCTTGGTGGTTCTACTGGTTTCTTGGTGATTCTTCTGGTTTCTTGGTGGTTCTTCTTCCTTCATGACGACACACTGATCCACGTGTTCATCACGCTGGAGAGCGAGCAGCTGATGGACTCATCCAGAGAACAGTTAGAATTCAATACGACCTTCGTTCACCTCTGATGACCAACACGAGCTCTGAGCACGAGCAGGAACCCTCCACTGGACAAGGACTGCACTGTGTATAAAATACCTCCAGTATTGACGGTGTGTTTATATGGACTGCAGCGTTTCCTGTGAAACGTGGTGGAAACATTGAAAGAACCTGGACCTGTTTCATCACAGCCTGATCAGGTGAATGAAGGCGGTGGAAACAAACAGAACAACGGCGTGACGTCAGAGCGCCGATGAACAAAAGTGCTGAGAGACTGTAATCTGAGGGACGAGCCAAACAGGAGCTATTGATCCGTTACTGATCCGTTATTGATCCGTTATCAGCCTCCACAAACACACTCTCATTCACACACCATCAGAAAAAGATGGTTCAGTTACAAACATGATTATAGCTTCAGATTATAGTCCAGTACCCCGTAGTTCACTACATCAGCGCCTCTGCTGATAGATTTATATATATATATACTCATATATACTTCTGTCCTCTATTTAGGGAAACTATTCCACATATAACCAAAAATATGATATTAAGAGTTGATTTCTTGCATGAAGGACAAAGGAACAGATGCAAAACAAAATGTTCCCCTTGAACCAAAAACGAGTTTCAGAGTTATTCATTTCATTTTTTAACTTTAAGTTTCTTTTTTTGTTGTTTCACTAAGTGGCAAAAACATGCAAATTTTCCATCCCAACAAACCAACGAAACAAGAAAACGAAGAGCGAAGGAGTCGAGCGACGCCTCCTAGTGGTTCCGTCATCGTCATGTGCCGTCGTGGAGGATCCGAGTCCGTCAGTCAGGTTCCCTTTTTCCTTCTGCTGCAACACATACACTCAGCAGACACGAACCCAAATACAAAAAATATAAAAAGAAACATGACGAAACAAACATGAAATTGGCGTTTGGACCTTCGGCCGTCCTTTCAGTCCTCGTAGTGGGTCGCTTCCTTTTGTCATTTAAAACCTTCCACCTCCAAAAAACAGTCCAGACGTCTGCGAGTTCACGGATCTGCTTGATGCTTCCGCCAACAACAGAAGAAGAAGAAGAAGAAGAAGAAGAAGAAGAAGAAGAAGACGAAGAAGAAAGGTTTCCTGTGCAGGAAGACAAACAGTGGATCAGTCGGTTCCCTTTCAGCTGCAGGACCTCAGTGTGCTAAACTTAGTGTTGCTATGTGCCGACAGGTGATTGGAGTTCAGAGCTCAGGTGTCTGATCAGACGTCCTCAGCTGATGCGTCTATATGAGCGGCTCGGGCGGCAGCGCGTGCTGGATCTGCTGTGGCTGCAGCGGCGGCGGCAGCTGCAGCGGCAGCAGCGCCTCCACCATGTTGTGGCAGTGCGGCGGCGGCGTGCCCTCGCTGCTGGAGCTCTCGGCCACCTCGCCGCCGTGGAAGAAGTAGTCGCTCTGCAGGATGAAGGATTCGACCACGGCCTGGTTCAGCTTGGTGGTCGACAGCGTGTCCTTGTTCTCGAAGTCGGGTCTCATCAGTGTGGGCCAGAAGCAGATGGAGAGGTTGTCGGCCGTCATCAGGGTGGTTTTACTGTGCTGGCTCACCCTGAGGAACAAACGCATCCACAACGGTTAAACAACGCTCATCCAGACAACAGCCGCAACACAACCTGCCACCATGAGCTGTAGTCTGTAGACGGCTGCTCTGGTCTCTACAGGAATAAACAGGAAGAGGCTCCACCTGGTGGAACAACCAGGTACTACCACTGGTCTATGATACATTTACTGACATCACGACCTTCTTAAGATAAGATAATCCTTAATTAACCCTTTGGACACTATCGCCTGCTGTATCGGGCTGGCACTACGACTCGCGTCAACCCTGCGGCTCCGGTATAGTGGCTCCGGTATAGCCGTCACGGTGCACATCGGGCTGTCACAGTACATATCGGGCCGCTGCACGTCAGGCCGTTGCGGTGCACGTCAGGCTGTTACGGTGTTTTCGAGGATATGTAACGGGAAAATCTTTAAGAACAAGCGCCGACAGAGTTTCACTACCGTCATGTTGGCTGCATTCACTGAGATTCTGGTAATATGGAACAGATTGTTGCAGATGTTCTACAGACTCCTCTCACACTGACAGAGCTACTCTATACGCAGACAGAAGGAAAATAAACCAGTGGTGCTGCCCAGATTCCTCATATTCACAAAGAATCCAGCACGCAGCCTTTCAATGTATAAAATATCAACATTATTAATATTACACAGAAAAAGTCCGAAAGACAAGTAGAGACACAGATGAAGCGCTCAGTGGTGACATGTGACTCATCATTACCAGCTCCAGCGTTTACCTGTTCAGGTGTGTGATGATGTATTTGAAGACCTGGTAGTTGACGGACGGAAACTTCTTCACAATCTCACGCAAAACCTGCAGACGCTCGATGTAGTCCACGATTTCTGACACGCAAACACACACACACACACACAAAGAAACACAATAAACACACACACACACACACAATAAACACACAGACACACACACAGACACAGGGGGAGGAAACAGAAAGCGCTTTTTCAGCTCACAGACTCTTTTCAGGGAAACTAGATGATTCTGTGAAGACGAGCTCCAGCAGCAGAAGCATCAGGTATCAGACAGAAAACAACCATCCTGGAGCTACAGCTGAGCTGACAGCAGACTGATGAACAGATTGTTGAACCCAGAAATATATAATAAACCACTGCAGGTCTGACTCCTGGACAGATGTTGGATCCAGACAGCAGATAAATCCAGTGAAGCCAGAAACACGTCTGTCTGGTCTGAAGCTCGACTCCACTGGAGATGAATCCTGTCACTCAGCGCGTCTCTGAGGTGTTAATCAGCTTCATCCTCCATCTTTATCTTAGAAACTCAAGAGGACCAGTGCTGATATAAAGCATCAGGACTCTACCTTGTTTGGAAGCAAAAATGTTCCACGTTTCACATTTGATGCATTTATTCATGTCTGGACTGCTGGTCAGAGGAGACGACACTGGGTGTTTCTGCAGACACGTGGTTAACTATTATAACTAACTACTAATTATCATTATGAGCAGCAGCATCGATCTGACCCATAAACAACGCTGTTCCTGGAAAGCAAACCGTCTGGGAAATCCCTCGACAACCTCCAGAGAACCTTCAGTTTTCTGCTCGCTGAAGCCCAAATGCTGCGATTAAATATTTAAAGAGCAGCTGTTAGATAAGAGCTGCAGCCTTC